GTGCCCTGACGTCTTGCAGATGTGGCAGAACGGAGGTACGGGCTTCGGTTGTTGTTGTTTGTTGGTATTGTAGCGTCGCTGAGTATGGAATGCGAATTCCGGTGTTGATGTCTTCTTCTTGTGTCGTTCTTCTTGCAGGTCCATGTCTTGCTGCTCGGCGTGGATTTCGGCGCAGAGCGCTGCTTCGGAGATTCTTCCGTGGGCTCGGAGAATGGCCTTTGTTGCGCGCCATTGAGGACCGAGGCCGCCAATGATAACTGTCACGAAGGCGTCTTCAGAAATCGACCCTCCGCATCGAAGAAGCTTGTCACGCAGCTCGCGACATCGGCTAATATACCCCATTCCTTTCTCGCCTGGTTTCATTTCGACCGTTGTCAGTTGCGCCATTAACCGACTTTGATTTACGCTGTCTGTTGCTTGATACAGGCTCTTCAAGTGGTTGTATGCGAGCTCCGCGGAGTTGCCGTAACCCCGGTAAGACCGTATATTCTGCTGTTGAGTCGGGGTGATGTTTCTCAGTAGAATCGTGTACGCCATCATCGACTGATAGGTGTACTGCTGCTTCTCATACTGTGTGCCGTTTGTTGCGTATGGCAGGGACCCGTCGAAGAAGCCAAGTATCTGCGCGCCTTCCATCATTAACTCGAATTCAAACGACCAGGTGAAGAAATCCTTTCCATCGAAAGGTCTTGACGTCTGCATCTTCAGAACGTGCGCGAACTGCGACTGAACTTGTAATGCGTCCAGTGGCTTTTCTTGTCCAGGTGAAGGCTGCGGGTGTGGCATAAAGCTAATGGACCCGCACTCGTACGGAGCAAAGGTAGACTGCTGCTGTTGATTTCCTCGTGCGTATGATGAGCCGTCGAGACTCATGGGAGTTGCTCCGTTGTTGTTGCTATTGTGTGACTGCGCAGGTGCCGATTGCTGGTGTTGCTCGTAGAAAGACATGAAGGAGAAGAACTTCTCCATCATACTTGGGTCGAAGCCCGCGGCTTGGTTTGCGGGAGTTTCGGTGGATGTTGCCCTGGGTCTTGTTGCCGTACCCTCCTCTGTCTGTAGGCCAGAGGCAGGAGGTGGAGTAGGAGTAGTGCCCTGGGAGCCGTTGGAGGAGCTCCTTTCCTTTTGTGTAGCCATGCCTGTTGATGTTGTAGGTGTCTTGATAGTTGAATTCCCCCTGATAGCTCTCATACCATGTTGGGCTGAGAAAATAGCCCTTAGGATCTTTGCAGGGGTGAACTCTGGGTAGGACTGATGTAATAGCGGAAGCGTTTAATGAAGAGTTGTGAACCACCTTGCGCTAGTGTGTGAGGGCAAAGTTGATTGAATAAAACAGAGAGATACAAGATTATATATAAGAGTACAAGGAATATGAAGGGTTACAGTTATAACTGTTTTACTGTTGCTGTTGCGGTTCGATACAGTGACGACTCGGGCAACTGCTCTGTAGCGAGTCAGTTGTGTGTCCTTGCTGTCGCGCTGTACTCTGTCAGGTCAAAGGTCGCTGACCTTTGGCTTTCGCGTAACCTCCAACAGTTGCTTTCAACCTCCGAGGGTTGACTCGCCGGTGCTTCGATATGCTTCGCTTCGTTTGTGCCTTAGTGTTTCGACACGACAGAGGCGCTTAAGATCGATTGTTTCCAACAAAAGAGACATAGTGGGATGTAAGAGTTTTTACGGTATGTTAATCAGTTGCATTGATCATACCTTGTTCCCTAGCTTGCTACTCGGTGTGTTATTTTCAACCAGCATCGCGTACATGGATCTTTCAATCAGTTGGGGTTGCTTGCACGGATGACTTGCGTCTAGAATGACTATTGTACACCGTTGAAAGCGATCCGTTATCAAGCTCACTCCCGGAGATTCCCAGGTGCAGCAATAGCGGAGCATCACAATATCTGATGGTATCGAGCGTAGGAATACCGTCCGATTAGAAATTCGATTTAACGGTCCGATCGCAGCCAGCGCTGACAGCTCCACCGGTGTTGCTGATTCGGCGCTGACGTTCCCAGAGTCGTCGTCAACCGACGAAACCCTCATTGTTCGCGCCACAGACTACATCAAACAACGAACGAACCCTGACGGAAGCATTTTGAAGTAGCATTTTCGAGAACAGAAACCGTCAGCCGTAGTGCGATAGTGTCGTCGTCAGGGTTTGTTCGATGGCAGGTCTAGCACAGAGCGAGTCCAGCACCAGAGTTCTTGGAGACCCTGTTGGGTCTGAGGGCAGGTCCCCTGATGAGGTCTTGCTCTACAACTCACTGCAAGTCGGCCATGAAGTATACGAAGTGGTAGGCCTTTGCCTTCCTTAGCTAAGAGTCTTATGGAGTTATTTCTAGTTCTAGTACATTGACAGCTAACATCTGTTCTTCCGTCTTTTCAGGGAGACTCGGTATTATTGAGGTCTTGCCGTTCTGAGTGTGATGTCGTCTTCATTCGTGTAAGTTTCTTCTCCATAGCTCTTCCCTCTTTATAGTGTTTTTGAACGCTACAATAGAGCGTACTTTTCGTATACTTACGCCGTTGTTTTTAATCCTGTGCAGCAAATCAGGGTCAACCCAGATGGTGGTCTCGAAGTGAAAGGTCAATGGCTTTATCGGGAGCAACTTCTTCCGTTCTCACAAGAGCATGGCAGAAGCTCGGTCGGAGCCAGGGCAACCACTACAGATGAACTTTTCGGAAACAGCAAAAGGACAAGTGTTCCCTCGGATCCACGGCGGCTGTTTTATTCCTTCCACTACGAGTCCTTCGTTCCCGAGACAATAGTACGGAAGTGCAGCGTCGTTGTTATCCCGCCGTCCAAAGCTCTGCCTTCAACAAGTGAGCTTTCGGATTTTGTGGTGTCACATGTATATGACGTTCAAGGTCACCGTCTACTGACTGTGACCGACAAGTTCCTTCCCAGGGAACATCATGACGAGCTTGCGACGGCACTTGCTCGGTCTAAGGAGAAATGGGAGTCGCTCGTGGAGCATGCGCCCAGAGAGCTTCAAGAGAGCAATAAGGTCAACCTTGTGTGTTCAAGTTCAAACAAGCGCTCTGCTAAGGGCTCCGAGCTGAGCTGGAACGTTCCTGGTTCCAAGCGTCGCAAGCTGTCGAGTGAAGGCAAGTGTTTGGCGGTTGCCGGCAGTCTTATCAGATGCGAACAAGCTGCAAAAGAGAGTGAGGCGGACGAGAACGTTTCTGCCCTATTGGGATGTCCGGACGGAGACTGCTCGTATTGTAGTGGGAGAAGCGGGTGTGAATGGGATCAAGGAACGCCCCCGTGGACCTCGGAGTCGCCTTTGTGTCCTGTTGAAGCTCCTGAAGACCATTCTTCCGTGAGCGGTGGTTGCTGCAAACCTTCACTGGCAGTTCCCTCGGTGACAGATCACCTTTCGCATGTGGATACGTATTTGGAAGTTTGCGATAAAGCAGATGCTGGGTGCAGTATCACGGCAAGCACCGTTGACGTTCGTACTGGTGCAACTGGACTTGCCGAAGACCCCGAGGCTTTTCTGGAGGCAGTTGAGGTCCACGATTTCGATGAGAAGTTGGCGGAGCAGTCAACCTCTCCCGTCGATGTGCAACATCTGGTAAGCTGCCGTGTTTAAAGTCGTGGCGTTTGTTGTTTTGCGCGCATGTTCTCTTCATTTAAACACTATAGTATACCCGTGGTTTACCTGTTTTGTTGCTGATTTTTTTAACCCTTTTTTTCTACTGTTTTCAGGTGGAACTCCTCTGCCCTAACTGCGGTGTCTGCGGAACCGTTCCTAATTCTCCTTCGGAAAATTCCTCCAATGAAGTTGAAGAGCACAAGGTTCGTGTCTAAATTATTGTAAAGTCGTTTGTGCATGGTTATTCTCTCTCGTCATCACTGCTAACGCTTTTGGCTGCTCTTTGTTTGTTTCCAGCTGGAGTGTACAACATGCGGGCACTCCTGGGTTTCGCTCCTCAATTCAGGGGACGTCGCGGGTGCAGGCCACGAAGATCTGGAGTTTCACAGCCTGGAATGTCAAGAGGAAAGTAATGCGGTCGGGAGTGAAAGCGATGCAGATGATGAAAATGACCCTCTTCTTTTCATCAAACGGCTGCCGCTGCTCACATATGCGATTCCGGAAAATCGTCCTTACATCTTACCTCCGCGAAGTGCAGATGCGCCGCCTGTGACGCTGGTCCTAGATCTTGATGGTAAGCTTTTGCCATCTGTTGCGTTGGACGTCATGCTTCTTATTTGCCCTACCTAACGTCTGTTATGTGTTCCTGTTACAGAGACGTTGGTGCATTCGACAATGGACTTCTGCCCATTTTCCGATTTCAACTTCCCAGTCTTGCTGAACAGCCATACGCATATGGTCCATGTTCGCAAACGCCCCCATGTGGAGACTTTCCTGCAGAAGGTAGCTGAGCTGTTCGAGGTTGTGGTCTTCACAGCCAGCCAGGGCATTTACGCTGATAAGCTTCTTGATATAATGGATCCCAAGACGGAGCTGGTTCAGCACAGGATCTTCAGAGAGTCCTGTGTCTACATTGAAGGGAACTATGTCAAGGACCTGTCTGTGCTTGGACGGGACCTTTCGAAAGTGGTCATTGTTGACAACTCGCCCCAGGTATTTTTTTATTTCCTTTGGCCACTTGGTTTTTCCATGCATTTGTGCAGGCTTCTCACATGTTGCAGTGCATTTGTGCAGGCTTTTGGATTGCAAGTTGACAATGGTATCCCTATCGAAGCATGGTTTGATGATGACAAGGACTGCGAGCTGCAGTTGCTTCTCCCATTTTTGGAGACCCTGGCGAGGGCAGATGATGTGAGGCCACACATCACTGAAAGATTCAAGCTTCAGGAGAGAATTAACAAGATTCCTAACTGACTTATTGGGAGATGAGGTACTGACCTTCCTAACCCCCCAACGTCATTGATGTTGTGTTGGGCAAGTGCACAGTACTAATATATAATCTAGTCTATAGCTTTCCTTGTTATGCTGCATGTACCATTATAATATTTTTTTGACAGTAGTAACTAATTAAACGTCGGCTAAGGAGTTCTCCAAAAGTTGTGAAATTTGCTTTACAAGGACATCCCATTCAGCCGCTTGTTTCCTGCACTCTTTCAAAGCAAGGTGTTTCCTCTTCAGATCTTCCTCCAGAGCCGTCACTTCCTGCACAACATCCGGTCGCAGATGTGTTGATTCAAAGTGTGCACGCAACGAACAAGCTTCTGCAGGCCGAGACCTTACCCTGGATAGTGCTGCTTGAGGATCAGCCATGTGCCGCGCTCGAAGCCTTGTGAAACAACGCTCCAGATCACACGCCGTCTCAAGGAATTGATGGGCTCTTATGTCAAGATCCACTGCAAGTAGGAAGGACCAAGTACAGCAAGAAGGGACGTGAATTATATTCTTATGTTTCTAAAAAAATCGGTCATGAAGGTCAACACGTATTATTACTTCGTTGTTCAGGACGAGTCAACGTCTCTCGTGGTCTACGCGTTTCACGCTGGTCTAATCACCTGAATCAGCCACATTTGCTCTGTCAGCTGCCTGGAGCTCTCCAGCAGGAAGGAGGGCTAACAGATGCGCATCTAGAGTATCGAGCATGCGGAGAGCGTGAGCTACATCCATCGCTTTTGAACGTTGCGAGGTGAAACGCACGCAACGCAAATGACCACGCGTTACGGGATGGGAAGCTGAGGAAAACTAGGAGCAAGCTGACGAAAGCTAGGGGCAAGCTGAGGAAAACTAGGAGCAAGCTGACGAAAGCTAGGGGCAAGCTGAGGAAAACTAGGAGCAAGCACTCGGGAAATGGCTAAGAGCGTGTAAAGTCGTGCCACAACAAATTTTCGGAAAATCCGTCGGGCCGTTGTTGGCGAAAGTAACCCGTCGACGACGTTCGTTGAAACAATTGCGAGCTTCGTCTATTTCAGAGAAAAAATGCGAAATTTGATGGCTGGTTGAATAGTCGACACGTATCCGACACCATGTCGACTCCAATTCGGCCAAGTAGTCGACACCGTGAGCGACAGTCACGTACGACGTCGCACAGTATCGCAAACCCCAAAATTTGTGATCTTGTCAAATCAGAAAATTTGCCTCCAAACGTGCGACTCCGTCGCCCGTTCGCAACTACTGTGTCAACTGCAAAATTACAACTTTTTGCAATTCGGCCCTCAAACCTGTAAATTCTGCAAATCTGCAAATAGTGGCTGTAAAAGTGACGACACGAAGTCGACCAATCCGGCGACTTTCGCGAAAGAAATGTCGACCGGATGGTCGACGAAAATCCGGCCAAAAGCAAATTTTGCATGTGTGCGGGGATTTTACACGCCCTAACTGAACAGCAATGTGGCAACAGGATGAAAAGTTGGTGCTGCAGTTGGTCAGTCGCAGGCAATCGAGCCAGTTTGTACGCGTTTTTTGCATGTCTCACTCCTCATTTTCGTTGTGAATGTACGTAATGTAACATACAACTTCCCCGACTGAAGAAACATCTCATTCTGATTCTACTCAATCCCTCCCCTCTCCCGAAGTCAATCCTGACAAACTACTGCAATTCGAACAGCCACCGCAAGTAGTCTTCTGCTGTAAGCGTGAGCCAGCGCGTTTCACGGCTGACCACTGCTTCAGCGGCTGTCCTGCTGTGCTCGTCACCTTCATCTAAGGTCGTCGGCGCAATGGCTTCCGCTGCGAGCACTGTCCCGGTGTCGACGAATGCGGCTGTGTGTCGTTCAGACCTCGGCGGATCTCAGCGTCACGAGGCTTCATTGAAGAGCAGGCAACTGTTGGGAACTGGCTTCTCAACGTCCTTCGCACAAGGCGAGTCCCACCATGTAGCTCCGTGTGCCTTTTCTTGCGGTCCAAGGCAATATGTGTTGCTCCAACTTTGTCCTCCTTCGTGATTTTTTAAATATATTTTTTCAATGTGGCTTTACAGGTCTGTCGGCTAAAGGAAATGCGGTTCAGGTGTCGCCGTTTTCCAAAAGAGCGACGACTCTCAGACGGCAAGGAGCGACGAGATGCGGATATGCAGTGAAAGAGTCGCGGGGCGGAATTGCAGGCGAGGGCTTTCGATTTGGGGTGGTAAGCTTGAAAGGTTAAGTTCAGGGACAACATAAGGACCAATCAGGACCTCGATTTCCACGCAGACGTTGATCTTATTCGCGTTAGATTCTCACTGCTCGATACACGCGGAAGAGGTTTTTTAAGGGTTTACCATCTCACTCGCTCAGTCTTGGTTTTCCAAGTCTCAACTCGCCTCGCTCACCTTTTATTCTCTCCCTGTTGCTTGCTCCCTCCCTCGGATCCTCCTATACCTCGCATCCGGCTTTATCAGGTGGTGTCCAAGTTCAACGAGATTGTAACGAAGCCTCTACTGTCCGGGGCGATTGACACGTTCAGGCGGCATGGCGTGGACAAGGACCACATTGAGGTGGCGTGGGTGCCGGGCAGCTTCGAAATTCCCCTCGTGGCGCAGGAGATGGCCAAGTCGGGCAACTTCGACGCTGTGCTCTGCATTGGCGCTGTGGTCAGTGAGATCAACCACGTGCCGTGTACGCTTTACACTTTGGTTCATATATCCGTGGCTGGCTCGCACGTTGCATTCATCCATTTTGTGATCAGCCCTGCTAGTGCCTGCCAGCTTTGCTGCTGTGGTCTGCAGACCAAATCCCAGAGTTGTTCGGTTCCAACTCTGCGTCTTATTCCAGTAGTCTCACGCTCACGTTTTCCCTTGCCTTCCCCTCCATCCTTGCCATCCCTGCCTCAGGTTCGGGGCTCCACCACTCATTATGATGCCGTTGCGAACAATGCTGCCAGTGGCGTCCTGAGTGCAGGTCTCAACTCAGGTGAGGCTGGAAAGTGAAATCACATTCAGGATTGGTGATTTAGTGATTGTATCTGTTTGCAATTTGCAGTGTGACGGAGTATCCGGGGTTTCGCATTGCTCAAAAGCACCTCTTGTAGCTCACTCTCCGTTCCCACCCACTCTCTCCGCTCCCCTCTTCTTTCTCGCTCCCTCCGCCTCACTCTCTGCAGGCATTCCTTGTGTCTTTGGGGTTCTCACATGCGAGACAATGGAGCAGGTACAGGCTTACTGTCTTTGTGCTTGTTTGTTTTTCATCCACACATACATATGCTCCCAGCACTCACTCATGCACAGATCTCGGTGCAAAACAGCACCCACTCATGCACACCAAATGTTGCCGGAACCTCGATGGATTCATGCATTTTTTCCTCTACACTTCATTCTCAGGCGATGGACAGGGCGGGAGGCAAGCTTGGCAACAAAGGAGCAGAGGCGGCTGTCACAGCGGTACGTGTATTGTCATGCTTGCATGACAGCCAAAGTGGTTAAATATGACCACCTGAGGAGGCACTACCACAAGTCACTTGCCTTTCAGTTTTTGCTTTGAGGAACTGTCATCGGAGAGATAAGGGTGCATTCCGCTCAGGACATGTCCCAAAAGAAAGTGTCCCAATCGATTCTACCGCACTGCATCTTATTACACCGAATTACACCCTAGTTTCAAACATTGTCAAAATTTTCGCGTCTCTGGTTTAGTTCGGTTCGGAGCGGTACTACCGATTGGGACATGTACTTTTGGGACATGTCCAGAGTGGAATGGACCCTAAGACTTCAATTAATTTTGTAGTACACTATGAAAGCGAAACAAACTAGCGTTAAGAGTACAAGGAGGAGGAAGCCGCGGAGGCAACCAACCTGGTGTATACGGTGAGACCCTGAACCAGAAATGATAAAAACACTACAAGATAATTCAGTCAAAGAATAACTTGAGCAGGTGGAAAGGCGGCGTGCCTACGCTCGGATGGCACCACCCTGAGCAGGGACCACAGGCGACGCTGCTGGCCTCACCACCACGCGACCCTGGCTGCACGGCCACATCGCACGCGCACACGACTCCATCCCCGACATAAACCGAAATCCGCTAGCAGCAGCACCTGGACCGGAAGATGTTACGGGGAGAACATGAACCGCCCTCAGATCCTTAATCGAGTCCTCCATGTGCCTCTGAACGTCCACCTTCACAGCGGCGCGTTGCACCTCCCCCTTCACCTGAAGCTGCCCCTGCTGAGTCACTTTCACCTCCACCATACCGCCTTCCGCTTGTCTTCCAGCCTCCTTAATCTCCTTAGCCGCAGCGCCCGACGCGCTGCTGTCCCTGAGCTTCGCGGCAACGGGGGAAGGTTTGAGCGAGTCGCAGGCAGCAGGCAAGCCGCACCTGTCCTTTACAAGCCGACGAGCTACCGCCATAATGAGCATCATTTCATCCATGGTGGTTTCCTCGTCTGTAGCAGGCTCGGCGGCTTGGGCCAAACCGGACGGCACCACCTTTCGCGGACGACCCACGGGCCTCTTCGCCTTCACAGCCTTCTGCGACGGTTGCGACGCCTGCGACGGCTGCGACGGGTGCTGCGACTGTTGCTGCTGCCACGCGACCTCGGTGAGAGTGAAGAACGACCCCTCCTTCTTGCATCGCTTCGTCTCCGCCGACTCAGCCGCAGAAGCGGGTCCTTCACTCAACCGCCTCTTACGTCCCGCCGACGAATCCACCGCTCCCCCAGTAAAATCACACTCCGAGTCGGAACCCAAGCCCTCGTCTTCTTCATAGTCACTCTCCTCCATCTCAGTGTCCTCGTCAGCATCATCTGCCACGTCATCACCATCGCCGGACTCGTCGTCACTAACCACGTACTGGCGGTTCTTCCGCGTCCTCATGCCCCGATGCACGAACTCTCCCTCTTCGTACGACTCTGCAGCGTGCGCCTCGGCGGGATGCGACGAGCCGTAAACCCGGCTACAAGCCCGGCTGTCAACATGTCCAAAGCTTGGGTCCGACGAGTCGCCCGAATCTGAGCTCGCAGCCGCGTTCGATGACGCATAACGGGAACCGCCGACTGGGAAAAGCTGTGGTAGAGCCGACGTTGCTCCAGCGGCTGTACCCGCCTCAGCGGACGCCTTTTTCCTTCCGCGGGTGCCTCTCGGCCGGAGAAACTTGGACGGGTCGGCGTTGGGGTCTTCGAACTCCCACCGCGTGGTTCGTAGGTCCAGTCGTTTGCTGTCGCCGTGGTCGCTCACGATCGTGTGAAGCGCCTTCTTCGCGTCGTACTTTTTCACGAATCCCGCGTGCCAGCGGTTGTCGCGCGGCCACACGACGCGAATCCGCGTGCCTTCGTGTAGGCGAACCGCGGTAGGTTTTTTCTGTCCGCTCTTGTCAGATGAAGTAGGCTTGGCCATCGGAGGCTGTGAAATTACTGTACTGTCAATCAGATTAGAGTCAAGTCAAACTGAGGAGGAAGGAAAGCTTAGAGGACGAACTGAAAATACGTGAGCAGAGAGGGCGCAGTTCTAAATGCTACTTTCCTGATGTAGTTGGCTAACTTGAAGGTTGCTTGTAGATTTCAAAAGAAATCGAGGAAGAAGGGCGCGAGAATGAGGAATCTGGAGTTCAGGCTGCAGAAATATGTGTTGTGAGCTTGTGTGTGAGGGGCGCCAAGGAGGATGGATAGACGGAAAGATGGGCGCGTTGGTTTCGTTGTGCGCGAAACCGATGGAAATGGGAGGGGCTGTGTGCACCGATCGCGTTTGCCGGGCTGGCGCTTTCCAGAAGGGCGGACATTGGGATTCGGCATTTTGCCGAGGGGCAGAAATTGGGATGGCGCAAAAAAAACTCATCAGGAGACGTCGTGGAGGGTGCGGGCGGGGACTTCAGGGTTTGTGTTCGGCGAGCAGCCGATGTGTGGCGGATTGTGTATGGAGATAGGGGGATCGGGCGCAGAAGGGAAGCTGGGGCTGGCGGCGGGCAGGACAAGTCTCGGTGCGGAGCGGATGCCTTGCCAATGTTGGAATTCCGCGTGGGCAAGTGAAAAGGGCAATTATCGATGAGACAGGGATTGCGGATGATTGGGATGTGATGTGACGGGCTCCGAGCGGCACGGGGCCGGGCGGGCAGGGCAGCTGCGAACGAAAGCAGACAAGCCAACTTCAAGGGGCGAGTTTTGGAGCGAAAATCAGCGCCCCTGTGACAGCCTTGGGATTGCGCGTGGCCAGGTAGGGAGGGAGGGAGCTGTCCCAGTTGGCGCGTCAGTCAGACCGCGTCGCGATCAAGCCCAAACCTTCCGTCGGCCTCGGGAGTTTGGGTGAGCTCCCTTGGCTCTTGTGTGGACATCGAACATGTCGGTAGTTGATCGCAAGCCTTCGCAACATCTCGTGAGGTTGTTAGCTCTCTGGACAGTGATCGTTGTGATTTCGCGCGGGTTACACACGTGATAACAGCGGTGCAAGCACACGGGGGCACCGCTGCGACGTAGGTGCTGCGACAGTGTCGCATCGCATCGCTGGGAAGTGTGCTGACTGGGAGGCAACTTTGTACACCCTATTCTCGATAATTTCACACTCCCCAATCCCGATTCGCGTTTTTTTTTGCCCGAGAGGGTGTGAAATTAAAGGGGCAAATATTCTCCCCGATAATTTCACTCTCGAGGCGCGGTAAAGCTGTGCTGGCAGGGAATGAAAATGACTTGAAATGACCCTGGAAGTGTTGACGATCTTGAAAAATATTTGTATCCAATGAAAAACAGTCACGTCAGGATTGCGTTTATCCGTAACCCTGACCACAAATTCGAATTTGAGTGCCCACACCCAAAATCGAAGACCTAATCACAATTGGGTTGAAAATTCGACACTTTGCGTGGTTTGAAAGTAACATGCCTTTATAGCAAATGCAGTCCCGAATTTCCAACCCAAAGACTTGCAACGAAAATTGACACCTTGTGATTGACACAAATTTGGATGCGACCCGAAAGAATCAACAATCTCCCCCAATTCTCTGGGCTGCGGACAGTATAAATAGCGGTCATTTCTGCAGTTGTCAGCTCAATGATCCTTCACGGTTCGCCAGCTCGGCAGCCCAAAGCCTTTGCTGGTGATCCCGAGTCGGGGGGTGAAATTAGGGGGTGTGAAATTATCGAGAATAGGGTGTATCGCGGTTGTTTGGCTCCGCACGGTCTCCTGAGGTTGTGGGACTCGGGGCGAAAAAGAGCTGCACTGTGAGGCTCCCACCGAACTTTGGCTGCGCGGACCAATGAGGAAGGAGAGTTACTGGGGCTTTCGGTGGAATCCGCTAATCACGCGAGCGTTGCACGATCACGCGAGCTCTCGATTTCTGTTGCCAATCGTCAATAGGTGCAACCACTGCCCCAACCTGGTGTAACGATCCACCACGAATTTCGGCGGCATCCACAACCCTGAGATTGTCAAGTAGGTCAGATCGACTGTTGAGCTGCTTGTTCTGGCGACCATTCCCGCCACCTTGACGCCACCACAAGTCAGATGTGTAGCCAATAAGGTAATGTCACGTGGAATATATGAGGGTTTGCCTCACGTGTTTCCGTGTTGGCTCCAGCGAACAAAGCTCCATGTTCAACCCAGTCACGGACAGGTAAAAATTGGCGCACGTCCACCAACCTCCCAACTTGTCGTGCGCCACAAATTCAAGGTGTTGAAAGAATATCGCCGAAGCTGCCCGAACGTGGGTGTGCTATGGGCTGTCTCGTCAGTTTCTCCGACATTCATGAGCACAATCTTCTCGCATGAAGTGGGTCACTGCAACAGAACGGGCAACTTTTAGGCTGCATCGATTCAAAATTGGGACAAGCACCCTCAAGATTCTGACGATTTGATAAAAGTGTCAGACATTCTTGGCGGGACAAGAATGTCTCCCGCCAGAAGCTTTTCACGGTCTGCCTGAAAACCGCGGGAAAAGCTTGGGAAGATATCCTAGAAACTGACACGAAGTGAAACATTGATTCATTATTGTAGTTAACCACTAAGACAAGTTATCTGGTTATAAGTTTTAGATTTGTGTCTAGCTTTTCTCCTAGGCTGATTGCACTCCAACACCTCCACAAAAACCTTTGTTTTTACCTCACAATGAGCGAACTCCTTTAAGTCCGCTGTAATCACACTATCAACGCTCTTCCACTTGAGCTCCTTTTTCTTCATCGGTTCGAGATCCAGTGCACTGGCGACCACCAACTGTCCCACTTGACCATTGGATCCATCATTTCCAACATCACTCCCCATCGATATTTTCTTGCCGGTAATTTCCAACACTGTCATTGCTGCTCCTTTTCGTGCATCCTGTTCGTAGACTTTCGGTGTAGAGCAGCTCACAACACCGCTACCAATGCACCCAGCAGTGCGCCTCGACACATACTCCTTGCAATTTTTCACAGACGTCTGTAAGGGGCTCTGATGCAGCTTGCTTGTAGATAACCTCATCCAAGGATGTGACAGCGCTTCATTCGCCGTCATCCTCTCCAACCGATTCGGTGTGAGCAATCTGGTCAGAAACTCCAGAAGCTCGGAAGAGGGATCATCTGGCAAACCCTCCAAATCACCAGCCTGTAATCTTAGCCACGTGGCATTCCCGTGAACTTGCTCCGCAGACGCTGCTGCCTTCCCCATTGCCACCCTGGGATGCACACCCCCCACCATCAAGAACAGCACGGCACCCAGACTCCACATGTCTGCAGCCTGAGCGAAGACGCGCTTCTGGGAAACTTCTGGGGCCGCAAAGAAGGGCGTGGTGCCAGGAGATGGTGAGGCAGCACCTTCAGGAGGAATGGGCATGGCTGATCCAAAATCTACCAAGTGGAGATGCTTCGATGATGTGCTGGGGAAGAGAATGTTAGTCGGGTTCTGTTGGGGGGGGGGGGGGGGGGGGGGGCAGAGGAGGGTGTGCAGGACTTTTAAATGCAAGCAGATCACATTGCGGCCTTGAGCAGTCTCAAATTGATGGGGGAAAGTAAAGAATAGGAGCAGATGTGGGAAAGTGAGAACATGAGGAAGTGAGAGAATTGGTGAAGGATAGGGATTGAAAATTAGGGAAAGTGGATGTTAACAGAGTGGAGTTGATAGAAGGTGAGCAGCGCCAGGGGTTGTAACGAAGGCAAGAGCTGCAAACACCCACTCCCCATTTCGCACCTACCCCGACCCAACAAAACAGCCCACACATCTCGTTTTCATAGCCCCAACACACACGCGTCAATATTGCATGACTTACAACATCAAGGTGTGCGATACCCTTAGAATGAAGATATGCAAGAGTCTTGAGCAGGTGGCGCACTGGTGGATAGCACAAACCAGCATAGCAGCAAACAAACAGCGTTATCGAATGCCCAATTCCAAAGAAACACACATCTTGCTCACAAACGCCTTGGGAGTTCCCCATCAATGTTTGGTAACAGCAGCTGACCACGCGTGGCCGATGCCACGTTGCTGCTCACCAATGACTGATGCATGGCGCTCTGAGAACTTGGGCCGGAAAGCAATGTGCGAGAGGAGGTCCCCGTGTTTTGAGTCGACTCAAAACACGGCTCATTCTTTAGTCGACTCAAAACATGCCACGTTGCTGCTCACCAATGACTGATGCATGGCGCTCTGAGAACTTGGGCCGGGATGCGATGTGCGAGAGGAGGTCCCCTCCAGCCACCAAGGGAGTGACCAGGAAGAGGAAGCGGGTATCCTCAAATGTGCCCAGCACAGGGAGTAGGCCAGGGCAGGCTGAGACTGAGGCAGAATCGTGTGCAGCCGGGTTGGATGAGTCAGATGAAGCAGGACAAACAGGGTCCGCAGAGGAAGGTAACGACCCTGCTATCACAGTGGAACAGGTACCACCACTATTGGTGGCGGCAGCGGCAGTGCTGCTTGTTGTGCTGCTGCTACTGCTAGCTGCAGAAGTAGCAGCGGCGGCGGCACAGCTCTCGGCGTTCTTGTCTGATTGGTTGCTGGCTTCACCACGCTGCAGCTGCAAGCGTCCATACGAGGAGGAATAAGAAAGTTAACAACAGGAGCTCACAACAGGCTCAAAGATAACAACAGAAGCCCACAACAGGCTCAGAAGCACTAGAGGCTTGGAAAGCTTAGAGACTCAGATTGGTGACAGAGTTGGAAAGTTCACAATGGCTGGAGAAAACCGTTTCAACGAATTGCATGCATTACGAGGCTCATTCGAACCAGCCGCACCCAGCCGTACCCGACCATGCCAGGCAGCACAGGCCGGCCAGGCATTCCGAATTCAGGATGCGCGTGCAGCATAGATGGTAGGGAAGGGGGCTTACTGCAAGAAGGATCTCAATCTCAGACGCCTGGTTGGGCGGTAGGCAGCACCAGCATGTGGAAGGAGGGATGAGAGGGAGTGGGGAGGGGTTGGGCGGTAGGCAGCACCAGCATGTGGAAGGAGGGAGTAGAGGGAATGGGGAGGGGTTGGAAATGAGGCAGGCAGAACAGGTGTCACATTGGCCTGCAACCAGAGTGTTTTCAGGAGGGCGAGAGAGATTGATGAAAAAGAAGCGAAGTAAACGCTTTGGTCCTTTGTCAGACTCTCACCCCTGCCGCACCCTCTCTGCTCTCCACCCAGCGTTCAACAACCTTCCTCTGCTGTAGCTTCGTGCATTGTCCCCTCCCAATGCCCACCCTATTCACCACTCACCCGATGCTCTTCTCCCTTCATTGCTGTCACAATCCGCTTAGATAACATCTTCACTGCCACGTGGGTCCCATTGGACCTGTCCACGCCCACCCTGCATGCAAAAGAGACACCAATGACACCAGGACAAGTTTGCGACTGCGTGCTTTTCCCGGCGCTCGTGAAGAGGCAACTGAGATTGATTTTCAGGACCAAGCAGCAGCACCGTGACTGCCATGTGCATCACTCAAACAACTGGTGAATGCCTAACATTATTTTTGTCAAACACCTCGACCAATGAGGACCAAGCAGCGTCGATTTAACCGCCGTAGACATTTTCCGGGAGCTCACCAAACGATGCTTGTGCGACCCTCCCCAAGGACGTCTCGTGTCAGGCGATAAGCCCGTCGCACGTCCGTCGCATGGCCGATTTTAAGACCGCGAGGCTCGAGCCACGGAAAAGACGACTCGTCCTTGTCCTCCCAGTCCTCTAATGCCCGGTGTTTGGAAGAGGCCGAACCCATTCGCGCAAACTTCAAACAACGATCATGGGCACGTATCTACATATGGAGTTCCCGACGAGGTGCTAGGGAAAATTGTAGTTGGACGCTTGTCGCTTCAGAAACCATGGAGAATTATTTGACTTCTTGGCTGAAACTAGGATGTGTAGCACTCGAGCGGGAGAAGTGTACATGTGTAGTCTTCAGCGGAAAAATGTACAAGCTTTGTATACATCAATGTGTGTTTTCTTTACCGCGGATTGTTTGCTGATGCTTCCGTGGAAGGCATGGAGACGTGCGAGTCGCAGGGGCCTCAGACGTTCCGTGATGTCGTACAATCGCTTCGCCAGGGGCTCTAACGAAGTGGAACATGGACAATTCAGACGAGGCTTGCGAGGAACTGGTTACGGATGGGGATTCGCATGTCCTTGTCCATTCTCAACTACATTGCAGCATCTGCGATTTTGGATGGAGTCGGGCAGCTTGTTGACCGGCACAGCTTTTCTCCTTGCGTCTTTGTCTTTGCAAAGCAAAAGCTTCTCAATTCTTCCTGCGTTGTTCCTCATTTTCCCAAATTTTAATTGTTTAGGGGGTGTCCAGCTCGTTCATTTACTGTTCGTAAAGCCCTTCAGTTACCAGATTTTGCGTTGTAACACTGAATTTCACAAAAATGCCAGACACGATCAGCTCCCGTTCACGATACGGCACACCCCCTGCACGTACCTCGAATCGTGTGACGCACGTTACAGAAATCAACGTGCGCATCGAACAATGGTACAGAACCGCGTCCTGCCCACCACAGTGAGTGCCCATCGTATCGCGCGCTCGATTTCGCCAGTGCAGCCTGACACTCGCCAAAACCAGTAGTGGAAGTGTTGGCTTGGCGAAAATTCCAATGCTTTGGTTGACGAGGGAACCGGTTACCTCGTTTCAATAGGCCACTGCACTGTTGAAGTCTGTGTGGGGGGAATGTGTCCGCGCGCTAGAATTGACAAAAAGGGTGGACTCGACGCAGGTCGTATTCGTTTATAGGTACAGTGATCAGTTTTGAACCCCGGATCGTGAGGAGGTACTAAATTTCCCGAAGTGAACGAGCTGGACACGCCCTTAGGGGTCACTCGTGTGCACCTGTCATTGTTGAAAGGTAGTGGTGCTGTTTTCTTACTCCAGGGCTCCCACCTGCGACTGCTGTTGGGCTGCTCACTGGCAGGTATTTTCCCTTCACTGTTGGTTTGGGAAAAAGGGTTGGAGTGGAGTTTGGGAAGAAACATATCAGAACCACACTATACCGCTCTCCGCCGTTCTATCCATTCAAGAACCGCATTTTAGCGCTCTGTTGGAAAGTTGTGCTATGAGACGGCCTTGAGCTACTGTGGTCAGCCATTTGTCTATCAGTCTGTGGTGATCAACTTTCAGCAGCCATAGTATCACCTAGCTAACGATTATAGTGTGTGGGCCACGAGCACAGGGAAACATCATGTGTCTCCGATCACAATGCTGACTGTGCACGCTCCACATCCATCAAGTTCACTTACAGACAAGGGCTGCGGTATGGGTTGCTTTTGTTTTGGGAGTTCTGCGAATAAAGAGCCTGCTGGCAAAGCTGAAGGTACATCTGATTGGAGTAGAGTAACGAGTAGATAAAAGCGCCTTGACCATTTCGTGTTTATTCCAAGCATTTTCCTAGAAACGGTTAGAAAAGTACTCACCAGTTTTCGTTGTCGGTGTGTCAGATTGGTGTTGGAATGTTAACTAGAGAATCCCTCCCTGCGTGATGTGAATGACATGTTTAGGAGGTTAGCTTCCAAACGGAAATCGAGCGGTCCCGGTTTCTGCAATGTGGACTCCCTTAACAGCTTTATCGCTACTATCAATGTTCCCTTTCAGAGCCGAAAGTGGAAGAAGAGCCGGTCGTTATTGAGGAACCAGAAGAGCAGATAGTGTATGCTGGTATTCAAGATAGAGCCATATGGAACTGTCCTGGAGCCCGACACATCTCAGGTAGCGTGAAAGTGTCCTGGAACTGCTATATCGCGTTTCATTATTTTGTGTGGTCGTTCTGGTGTTGTTTTCAAGTGAGTGCAACCTAACGGAGGTTGGTTGTTTGTTCAGGAGATTTCTCGATGGCGGTCTGTCAGGCGAACGCGATACTCGAAGATTTTTCCATCGTCCAGAGCGGGAATTTCGGGACATACGTTGGGGTTTTTGACGGACACGGCGGGGCCCAAGCTGCAAGCTTTCTCAATGACAACATGTATTCCATATTAAATAGTAAGATATTGATATTCGCGTCTTACTATGCACGCATACGCTCATCTATCGGTCTGGCAAGGCAGCTCTTTCTTGTCTGTTTGCTCAAGGTAGTCTATCACGTTTTGCCTGCAGGAGTCACAGAGGAAGCTGGTGGACCGAGTGAAGAGACTTTCAGAAAGGCTTTTGAAGAGGCAGAAGCGCAATTTTTGGAAGTAGTCAGAGAAAACTGGAAGATGAAGCCAATCTTTGCAGCAGCAGGCTCTTGTGCTCTTGTTGGGTTAATACACGCATCCACTCTTTACATTGCTTCAGTGGGCGACTCTAGAGCAGTTGTTGGCTCAGTTGATCCAGATGGTGATGGTACTTGTCTACGAGCAGAGGAGGTCTCAGAAGAGCACAGTGCTAGCTGTGAGAAGACCAGGCAGGAGGTCAAGGACATGATTCAAGGGGACGACAATATTCTTGTCGAGAAAGGTGGCGTTTGGCGTGTGAAGGGGATTATCCAGGTGAGGCATGGATTCCTTGTGAAAGTTTAGTTTCAGTTCTCATATTCTGTAGCCTGACCATGCTCCTCCTTGTTTGCAGGTAACACGGTCAATTGGAGATTTCTACTTGAAGTATCAAGAGTTTCAAAACAATCCGTTGTATACTCGGTTTCGCTTGATGGAACCCCTCACTACTCCAGCTCTCATCTGCCAGCCGTCAGTCCTTGTGAAGCCGCTGACTGAGAAGGATCGCTTCGTTGTCTTCGGCTCAGATGGGCTTTGGGAAAACGTCTCAAATGAGGAGACGGTGGAGCTCGTGTCAAAATTCCCAAGACTGGTGAGTTTATGCATCCACTAATGGCACTAGCCACTTTTGTCAGCAATTAGTATCCTGGATTCGAGGTAAACTCGAGTGGAAGTCTTAGGTGGTCTTGTTCCAGCGCATATTCTACTTGGTGCATACAGTAAGTATATTTGTATGGCAGTCATTGTATTTGGTCTTGGTGGCACATCCGTTATGTGCTCCGAGAGCTTTCCATTACTCGTTAATACCTAACGTTGGCACCCGCCCAGATTTTTCACTGCAAATGCACTCTCCCCTTTCCCTCCACATGGAGTTCGATACATAAGTTGTTATACACAGTTGGGTGGCTGTTTCTCACAAGACCCCCAGTGCACGCAGTTAGTGCTTCCTAGTCCTTACATCCTGATCGTGAAGTTGTTATATTTCTTTATGTGCTAAGAGGTTATCTTGAATGGAGCGATTTTTGGTGCAGGGAATAGCAAGGCGCCTGGTGAAGCTCGCCATGGTTCGAGCGGCAAAGAAGCGGAAGCTGACCTATGGGGATTTGAAAACGCTGGGACCGGGTCGGAGACGGCAGGTTCATGATGACATCAGTGTCGTGGTTCTGTTTTTAGACAATGCTGCGGGCAAGAAGAAGCCGATTGCTGACATCACGATACGATCTTATCAGCCACTCACACCCCGGCCAGATGATGGTTCAGTTCCAGCAGAGGAGGACATCCCAGATGATTTTGCATTTGGGGAAGAGAGCAGCAGTGCCACTGATGTGGATGGAGCTGCTAGCACACCAGCAGCAGAGTGATAATCTGACATAGTCACATAGGCCAACCATTGACTAGGAGAATACGCAACGAGTTCAGTCTAGTTGGTGCTGGGTAAGGTGCCAGCTTTCTATCCAAATGCCAGGCATTATATAGGGTCACTGCTGTTCCTTCTGTAGTACTGACATGCTAGGAACACCTCCATGGCAAGGTGCCAGAAAGCCGAAGTGCCAGTTGTTGCAATAAGTTTTCTTTTGTGTTATGCCAGTGTCCCAGTTGAAAACATTATGTCCAAGTGTCACACAACAACTGCCCTCCACGGATATCCTTGGATCTGCTGACCTACAAACACTTCATTCCACCATGGTAGCATAACTCTCCTTGGGCAATGCTGAAGATACGTCACTGCATCACGCTCATTCCAATCGTCAGTAAAGTGTATTTGGACAATTGAATCAGAGTGTCAGCAGCAGACTTGTGGAAAGCATCACTTTCATAGTTTTTGGGATCTTTCCCAATCTCTGCAACGTCTACCAAAGTTGCGACACCTGATCCTACTCGGTGGAGCATTTTGATCAAACCTTGGCCAGGATCACATAATTTCTTCCCCTCCACTTCAGCTTCGGCACGTTGCGAACGGGCCATGCCATCGCTTCCTCCATCCAATGACGTTTTGAATGCCTGCCTTTCACCATCACTACCCATGAAAGGGTTTCCTGCAGGCGGTCGGGGTTCCTTGTTCCCATCTACTGCAGTGGAAGCCAATGCAGCTTGTACATTGGAATATCCAGACCGGCCAGGCTGCATGTTCAATGTCTTGGGTGCTAATGGTGAAGGTGGTTGTGAAAAAATACCAGCATGCATTGCGCGGTGGACACTGGATAGCAGAGGCAATGTCAGGTGCTGGGCTGCTGCGCGAGGAGGGGTTGTCACTGGAGCAATGGACGAAAAAATATCTGAGCCTCCGAATGGCGCTGTTGGCTCATTGCTGCCTGACGCATGTAAAATCTCCATGCAAGACCCTGCAAAGTTCCGGCAAGTGGCTGCTGCATGCCACTGGCTGACGACTGTGACAATTTTTTGACCTTGATGGGTTATACGCGCAGCACCATGCAGACAGAGAAGCACACCCGCGAGCTGAACATATGTGCAGACCTGCACAGCCAGAGAATCTTGGTCAGCTGCAAGAATTTCATCAAACTGCATCTCGTTGTAGAAGAGCTTCTCAACCATGAGGTCAGTGGCTTGAGTAATTGGAGTAGGCCCGTGTAGCCGGAGGAATGAGAACAATGCAGAAAATTGTGAAGCACACACAACGAGAAGAACCTTCAACAGGAAGTTCCGAAACTGGTGACTGATTGTCGCCATGTGATCTCTCAGCTGCATGTGATGGCTCAACATCGCAGCCACATCAACTTCGTCTTCAAGACGTTTAATATATGCCTGCCAATGCATGAAGGTATTAACTGCATTGACGTTCCAGTATAATTTTGCATGAGATGTAGACAACCGCCAGATAACTCAGAATTCACCTGAATTCGGATAGCTTGAACTGAGCACATAAAACGAAAGAGAACACAAACAAACAAATAAACAAGGGCCTGGTAGCCCCAAGAGACTCCAACAGAACAATCCATGCTGTGGCCATGCTTGCGTTTGTTATTCCGTCTGCGGTGCTGGAACCAAAGGGGGATGCTGTTTCAGCAGAGGCTAGCCATATGGCATTCTTCAGTGTCTTGATGAGCAAAGCAGGTAGGATAAGCAACATCAGCGATCTCACGAGTTTCTGCACAAGAATAAGTCTACATGTAGTGCAATTTGAAGCAGCATATTACTGGAAGAAAACACTAAGACGCATCAATGCCCAAAAGAAAGCGGCGACACTTACTTGGAGCTCAATTGGATACTTCCTCTGAACATCTGCAGTGTCTGCTGTAAACACGAAATCCAGCTGTAATACCTGTCTCAACCCCGGCTGTTGCTGCATCCTTGTCAGGAAGGTGAATGACGCGAAGCACAGGATAGTGTCAATGCAGGTAATTAGTCGATTGAACGAGTGGACTTGGCCAGGACAGGTATCATCAGTGGAACGAACGCTTGCGAATGATATTGCAGGGATGAGGACGCCAAACATCAGGAAGCCAGTCCACGAACATATGGAGCTCCATGTTCCTGATTGGTCAAGACAGAGCCATTGAATGTGAGATACAAACAGGTCAAATTCCCGGGAGGCGCGAGAGGGCTGACGAATGAGCTTCATGCGTGGAAACGGCTTCAGAATCCGTTCTTTTAGAGAGCGACGAGTAAGGGAGGTCGCACAGCAGGACGTGCTGTTTGAACGTGAACTGCTCGCGGAATCTGATGGTGTATGCGGAACGTTCTCAGCTCCCTCATGTTCGGGATCTAGTATTGTGCAGGTTGTGTCAGAGGTACGATTCATCAAGTTGCTGCTGGAAAGGGACTTTCCGTCAGGTAACACAACAGTCTGGTCATGCTCCGCAATGGCTGCCTCCGTCATTCTCATGATGCTCACATAAGGACTACAACCAGTCTCAGACGATTCTGAATCACGTGAAGTGGAACTGCCGCTGGAGCTAGATGCAGCTGAAGCCCAGAATGGGAAGCCGTCATTGGCTGTAGGCGAACGCGCGAACCCAGAACATCCGAACGGATCTTCGACATCAGCGATTGCTCTCGACATCCTTCTGGACGTTTTTAGAGTAGCTGACAAGGAGTGAGACGAGGTGTATTCAAAACCTAGCTTACTTTGAATCCTTCATGGCAAACAAATGCTGGGAGAGTGAAAGTGCAAAATAAGGATCGCTGCTTGATTGTAGGAGCTTCTGATTTGCTTGGCCTTGGCCTGGTTCCGAGTCTGTCAGCTTTTGTTCACATCAGGGGAGAAGGTGGATGGGGGATGGGATGTGGGGAGTCCACCTCAAGATGGTACATTCTGACTTGACGGGCAGCACGTTCAGCTCCCTTTTCATGGCTCAGCGAATCAGCAATCGACACAGCCCCTCTGTTGACCTGCCCGCCCCTCTCAAGATGCCCGAACCAGTCATAGCTTTTAGATTGTCGTGGCTCACCAACACCAACCTCCAAGCCCAACCAAACGAACCTCGGAAAGCTCGCTTTGAGCACTAGCCTCTCTCTGCCCCTCTGCACCCTTCATCCTTCCTCTGCAACCCTCTGTATCCGCTGTAATACTATGTTCCACGCTATGTTTCATTCGTTTCTCTGACTTTCCCTTCGGCATCCCCTAGATTCACAAATGAGTTTCACAAGGCCATGCACACAAGTTGGTCGTCACGCCAGCTGCTTTGTAGCATGCCGTTCTAGGAGGTCTCATCCATGCTCAGCTTTGTTAGAGAGGAGCGACGCGATTCGATGCAGACAATGCGGAAGGGAACCATGTCTACGCCTCGGTTCAATCACCGTGTGAACATATTTACTGGGGAACCACCTCAGGATGAACCAGTGTTATACCTTGTTTACCTGTTCTTCGGCTTACAACTCCACTGCTCCTTACCTGACTACTCTCTTTCGCCTGGTCCCCGCATAACGCTCCCACGCACTTCTTTGCACAGACCACTACAAGCGACATGGCTACTGGATCAGTCTCTGTATGGTGGGATTTGGAAGGTTGTCCCATCTTCAGGGACCTTTCCCCAGAAGATGTCATCGAGAACGTCAACAGATTCCTTGAGATGAAAGGGATTCACGAGGCTTGGAGCATGAACATCTTCGGCAGCGATTTCCATGTGAATCTGGCGAGCAGCCTTGTTCCTAACGTGAAGCTCCATCAGTATCCTCCAGGTCCGTTGGGCTGTGCTTTTTTTTTAATTATTAATTATTACTATTCTCGATCTATTTTGTTTTCTCCTGTGCACTAAAAAAAACCTCCCTTTTCGTGCCTCGTGCGTGTGTTACAGGTGAAGCAAGGATTCACGAGGCTATCCTCTTCTGGGCACTTGATGCACGTCCACCGGCAACTGTTCTTCTCGCAGCAGCTCTTACGCCTGACGTTTCCCGCGTTTTGATGGGCCTGCAGCACCGAGGTTTTCGTGTTATCCACGCTTACCCATCAGCCGTCAGTGTTGAATCTTCTAAAGGTTCCAGTTCCAAACTTCAAATTCCAGCAGGTCTATCGGACGTGGAAATTGTGGATTGGGAATATGTCTCAGCGGGATTTTCGTCACCTGACAAGCTCAGCTTGTCCAAACATCCTCTGACCGACGTGACACCACGGAAATTGCTCCAGTACGTGATGCAGTCACTGGAGTACGACAAGCTCCTACCGAGCGACTTCAATGTCCAAGCACGGCTTCGATATGTCATGGCCAAGCAAGGCCTGAAGGACATCCCTGGGTGGTCCTCGTGGAAATTCGTCGAGAGGGCTCTTGCAGCTGGGGAAATCAGGGTCATGTCTGAAGAGTGCAACGATGTCTATCTGCCCAAGGGGAGGGACACATGTTGGCCGTGGATTGACCCTTCGTTCCCCTGTAACGTGTACGAGGATAGCATCTGGTTGGCGCTACAGAAGTACCTTCTTGCTGAAGGACGCTGGGCAATGGAGTCTTCTAAAAGCAGGTAAACCAGCCTTTTTTCCCTCTTGTAAGCCTTTCAGTTCTTTGTCTGTCTTTTTTCTGTCTCCCTTGTCTCGTTTTCCACGGTTTGAGCTCCCTTGTCTCCCTGCCAGCTCGCAAGCTGAATTTTATGTTTCCACGTTTACTTTCTCACCTTTTCCAGGTACCATGCAGCAGAGACTTTGAAGATAGAGGGTCCTGAGGAGCTAAGGCAGCTGGTCATGGGGCAGCTGATCCACGTGGTGCAGCTCTCAGTCACTCTCCGAGGCTGGCTGAAACCCCACCCCACCAAGTGGACTCCTGTGCAAGTGATCGTACAAGAACCTGCTCCTCTTTTGCACCCAGGGGACCTTTTGTCGCCAAAATCACTCTCAACTGCACGACCCTCTTCAACAAAGCCCTCAGGCTTCAGTGCTGCGGTTGGAGAAAAGAATGCATGGTTCCAACCTGAATCTAGCAGTCGACGGACGAGAGCTGAAGCCAGCAGTGTGGGAGCAAGTGCTCATCCTGGCCCTGTCGCTGCTTCTGCCTCACCAACAAAACTCAGTCTGGCAGCAATTTCTTCGATCGTTTCCAGGCCAGGCCTCCCGTCGCGTAACCTGCTGGGGAGAGAGCTGGCTGAAGTCAAGCCAGAAAGCCCTCCTGCTGGAAGTCCAAGGCTCAGACAAGGCACGGAACATGGGGAAGAGCAAGAAATTCAAGGAGCATGGGAGCAGGGAAAGGAGCGTGGGAGGGCGCAGCAGTGGGAGCAAAGGCATGGCGCCAGTGGCATGGGTGAGCAGAAGCTGCCAGTGGTGCCAGTGAAGCCATGGGATGAAATTCTCAAGGTAGCTGCATCCCCTTCTGAAGGAGCGACAGGGGAGGGACGTAGTCCCGCCTGGGAAGAAGAACGACCCAGAGGCAGCTGGCGAAGCACCCCAATGTCAGCCGCAGTAGCAGCAGCAGCGGCAGCGGATGTACTTGAATCGCCTCTCAGCTCTCCTTCCCCCATGTCTTGGCGCCGCAGGCAGAAGCTCCAGGAGTTCCGTGAATTCGCTGCCAGGGTGTTGCTGAGCCAGCCGCATGGGATTCAGTTGGATCAGCTGCAGAGGGAGTGTGCGCGGAAGATGCCTCGAGGATTCAACTCCGAGGCGCTGGGATTCGCGAGTCTGAGGGATGTGCTGGAGAGCATGCAGGATCTGGCACGGCTGGAGGTGTTTCCTGGAGGGTTCATGTTGGTCTTTGCCTCAGATGAGCTGAAAGACACAAGCTTGGGGACGTCACCCTCTGCTGCTGCATCAGCCAATTCGTCTGATCCTAGGTCTGCTGCACTTCCTTCAAGTCCGAGAGTTTCCTCTCATCTACCCCTTGCTGCTGCTGGTCCTGCTACTGCTGCACCTAGTAGCAGCACATCCAGCAGTGCTCTTCACCCGTCCACTCCCACTACTCCACGTGCCTCACCTCCCCCTGTCCCCAAGCCTCGACCTGAAGGCTATCGCCGCTTCGACACCAGCTGGGGTGGTGAATCCTCTTCACCATTCTCCCCACGCTCCTCTCCACACTCGTCTTCCCTCCGCTACAGAGAGCCGCCCTCTTCAGAGAGCAAATTTGCCAAGGAGCGTGCCGTGGGGCCCTCATTCTCTTCTCCCCTGAGCCCTTTCACAAGCCTTCCCTCACCTCGTTCACTCGATGCATCCCCGTCTCCTCGACAACTAGCATTCAAAGCACATCAGAGGAGGCCATCTGGGCTGGGAGAGGAGGAACAGTTTGGGATCAAGGGAGGGAACCGGCCGTGGGATGAGGGTAGGGGTTGGGGCGAAGGAAAAGACTGGGGCGTGGGTGGTGGGTCGCGGGAGGAATTTGCTGCACTGGGGTCTCCTGCTGGTAGCAGATGGCGCACTGAGGGGAAGTGGAGGGAGGTGAGGGAAGTGAGAGATGTTCGTGAGGTGAAGAAAGTGGAGGAGGTGCGAGAAGAGGTGAGGGACGAGGCGATGGAGGGGAAACAGGAAGCATCTCGACCTGCTTATCATGAAACAGGGTCCGGTTTGCAGCTGCCGTCCTCCTCCTCTTCCTCCACCGCCTCGTCCCATGCCTCAACTTCACCATCCGTCTTGAAAACCCCATCGCTTGTGTCGGACGCAGGTGTAACAACGCTGCGCAGCAGGGCAGTGCCACCGCCGCGCCTTGAGCTTCCAACTGCAACCATCGCTGCAGAAAACGTGACGGAAGGCAGCAAAGGTAACCTCACAGAGAGCAACAGGCCGGCCAAGGCATCAGCGCCTGCAAAAGGAAGAGCGGCAGATGGGGGGAAGGCCAGAGCGAGTCACAAAGCAGAGCTAATGAGGAGTGATTTGAGGCAACTGCTTCAGGAGGTGCTGTCAAAGCCAGGCGTGCACAAGACGGGATACCAGCTCGCGTTCCTTAAGGGTGCTTTCCTGTAGAAGTACGCATACCCCCTGGATCATACTGTGCTGGGTTACCCGAAGCTGAAGGCGCTGCTGCTAAGCATGGAGGATGTTGTCAATGTTGCGGCCGCTCCTGGGGGACATGGGGTGCTCTTTCCTGCCAAATCTGCTCAATCTCTTCAATATCCTGCAGCAGCATCGCCATCTGTGTTGCCGTTGTCTTCATCAACACCATCAGCCTCGTCAGCAGTTTCAGCTGCAGCGGCAGCGGCAGCAGCAGCGGTGTCTGCATCGTCAAGGCGAGCCTACAGCAAGGTGACAGAAGCAGGGGTGCAGACTGCTGAGGTGGCAGTGAAGGAGGTGGTGAAAGCTGCCACGCACTGGCAGGTGAAGGCGCAGCATGGTGGCAAGGGGAAAGAGGCTGCAACCTCAGCTGCACCCCCAGCTGCACTCTCAGCTGCGCCCTCCCCTACTGCACCTATGTCAAGCCCTCTGTCGGCATGTTTTCCTGAAGATGAGCTCTCGGTGTCAGCTCCAGACCCTGGTAGCCCCGTGCATGAGCAACCCATGGAGGTGTCACCGATTGTGGTGGAGGGCACGGAAGAAGGGGATGAAGGGTCACCCGAAGTTGCGGCTCTGGTGTTGGCTAGTTTAGAACGGAAACGGGAGGGTTCTGCTCCTGTAGCACCTCATGCTGATGAGGACGACGTTGATGCTAGGGAAAGGGGTAGGTGGTGTTCAACCATGTAAACTGCAGCACCTGCTTTGCTGTCTATATCTTAGAAAATGGCATGGATGATCTGTTTTGTGGATTTTCTTCTGGATATGGCAGGTTCTGAATGTACTTCATTTTCATTGTATTCTCCCTACTGACTGTTCTGTAATTCTTTACTTTGCTGACGCAGTTCCACACTGCTGGAGCTTTGCTGGCCTAACCCGGCAATGACGTGTCGGCCCGTCACACGCTGGCACTGCTGCACTCTTGTGTGCGGCGAGATTCAGAGGCGCGAGACTCCTCTGCGACAAGCCCGCCACAGTGCGACAGGTCTCCCCAGTGAGCAGCATGGGCACCGGCAATGCAGAGCATCGGCTGGCACTGTCCTGAATATTACGTTCACCGCGTGGCACCACTCGTCGTCTCGCTCGGTGCCTGCTTCCATGGACAACCGATTTTGCGCTCTGCAGATTGACCTACAACTCTCAAATGTCTCTGCTTCAGATTTTTGTGTCTAAGATCATCAATTTCTTGCTCTGCTTTCCTGTCGTCCATTGCTAGAACATAAGGTACAAGCTCTCGAAGCAGTTCTAATAAGTTCCGACCAGTAACCCAGCTATTAGTGAGGCTCTACATAATCTGTTACTTCGTATCGGCGTTGTTTCTCATCTGTTCACGGTTTAGCCAGCCAATAGAATAATCCTTTACCGTACACAACCATCGTCGCCTCACTTTTGGCCAGCGATGGAGGCTGTCTCTCCAGACATAGCAGCGCGGCTCGTACCGTGCGCCAATGCTGCCAAATCACCCGAGTCTGGCGCGCGAGAGAGCATTCAGAGCATGTGGGACGAAGAGCTCAGCCGCGCGACATGCGCCGTGCATGGCGGAGACTGTCAGGGAGGGGACGACGGTTGTTCTTCGACACTCGGGGAACTTGGCGGAGGAGGGGTCTCCGGGGATGCTTTGGCGGGTCGAGGTGGCAGCGTCGGAGTGCCACGTGGCGTTCAGCAGCTGTTAAACGAGGCCTTTTCTGCCATCCCTGTCTCGTCCTTCCCACTTCCACCTGGCGGAGAAGGTATGATGAGACTTACACAAAACTGACAGGAAAAAAATTAGCAGTTTAGCATTAGCAAACCGGCAAAAGAGACCGGCGAAAGAGACATACTTGCCAGTAATTAACATGTTGGGTTAACTTCTTGACATACCCGCCGCGTTCCGCGGCCCTCATCATTCCTTCCTATCGTTTCGGTCACATCGACAACTACTCTAACCCGCGCTGCCTGCTCCTTTCCTGCCCTCCTACTCCCTCTTTCCTCTCTTCCCCCCGCAAAAAAACCTCTTTCCTCACACTTTCCCCAGTCGTCGAGATCTCATCTGACACGTCCATTCTCGAAGCCGTGCGCATCCTGTCCGTCCATCGCATTCTCTCTGCTCCAGTCCGCAACGCCAGGCTCACAGGCACAGCAACAGGGGCAGGACCACGTGGGGCAGGAGGGGGAGGAGTAGAAGGAGGAGGAGGAGCAGGAGGGGCAGGATTAGGGTTAGGATCCGACGTGGCGTGGTCTGATCGGTACCTAGGAATGGTTGACTATGCAGGAGTCATGATGTGGGTGTTGCAGCAGGCTGACCTGGCAGCTGCCACGCTGGCAGCAGGCACCGCAGCGCTGACAGGTGTCGGCGTGGGAGTGGTGGGAGCGCTAGGAGCAGCAGCACTGGGGGTGGGAGGTGCACCGCTAGCAGTGACTGGCGTGGCAGCAGCAGCGGTTGGGGCAGCGGTTGCGAGAGGGTTGAGGGAGAGGAGGAAGTTGAGAGGGACAGGGGCCGGCGCTGCTGCTGCTGCGGATTCTCTTGGTGTGGACTTTTTCCACATGATCACTGAAAACGAGCCGTTCAAGTCAGCCACAGTAAGTGTTGCTGTAGGGGAGTAGGCAGTGCACGTCATTTACAGTAGTCCTCATTAACAATAAGCACTACAGTAAGAGACACGGACACTCTGGCAGGCGTGTCAAAAGGAGAATGATCTTCTCCCTCTTGAGCCCCTTGACCCCTCCCCTCCCATTCTGGTGGGTTTTCTTTTCTTTTTCCTCATACCCTTCCTGACCCCCTCCCCTCGGGTGGCTGACATTACACTCAGCGACCGCTGGGCGCCCTTCCTCCGCCGCAACTGCCTCAGCTTCCTCCCATCTCTTTGCGCCCCAATTCCATTTCTCCAATATCCCCTTTCTCCCATCAAACCACCCCCACGCCGTCCTCTCACTCAGGTGGCTGACATCACACGTAGCTACCGCTGGGCGCCTTTCCTCCCACTGCAGCCGACCGACTCGATGCTCACGCTGCTGCTGCTGCTCTCGCGCTTCCGCATGCGCTCCGTGCCAGTTGTCGCCCTCGGATTGGCCCCTCCGGCCCCTCGCTTGCACAACCTGATCACACAGTCAGCCGTGGTTCGTGGCCTTGCCAGGTACAGCCAGGATCATACTTGGTGGGAAGAAGAAGAAACAAACCAACAAACAAAACAAAACAAAACAAAACAGAAACTGTGATTTTCCTTGGTGTGAATCGCGTTTCACGTTGCTATGCCGTCAGCTGTGATCTTACTCAGCAAACAAGGTGAAGGCCCGTATGGGCTTGGGCTGCTGGTTGTTCAAGTAGAGCAGTATTTGTGCATTGGACAGCTCTTCTTCTATGGTTCTCAGTCACCCCCCTTCCCTCCCTCCCTCCCTCCCTTTCAGGTGTCGTGGATTTGACTGGTTTGATGTGATCGCAGACAAGCCCCTTATGGCTCTGGGCCTGCCGCTTGTGGGGGAGAAGGAGGTGAGCTCTTGTTATTTACTGACCTGCCAGTCCATGTGATGTGAACTCCTTAGTGCCGAGGCTGTTTCTGTTTCTATCTATCTTTGTTTCCCCCTCTCGCCAGGCTTGTTGACTTGAGATGCCTTGCGAGGAAACAAGAAAAATCATAACAGTAACACACGTGAAGTACAATCGCTTATCAAGCACAACCCTTGTTTGAGCAGCTGGTGTCAGTGGATGCGGGTGCGTTGGTGCTGGAGGCGTTTCTTCTCATGAAGGAGAAAGGGGTTGGGGGCGTGCCGGTAACCGACGGTCCAGATCGCATCCTGTACGCCAACATCAGTGCGAGGGACGTGGGACTATTGCTGCTGCACCCAGACATGTTCCACTCTAGGAGGTGAGGACGCCTTGCTTTGGTAAGGGTATTCCGATGTTGTTGCATATTTACATGTTTCATTGAAGGTAAGAATGTGGATACAGGCAAGTCAAGGGAGCAGCGAGCTTGTTGTTGCACATCCTGTACCGCCATGAAGCATGCACTCCCAGCACAGAACAGAAGATTTCGAGCATGCTTGTCAACTCTTCTCTTCAAGCACTCCCAGTCACACCCTTGAGATCATTTCCCCTCCTTCCCCTCCTTGTATTCTTTCCTCCCCCCCGCAGCCACTTGACCGTGCGGGACTTCGTTGATTGCTGCCTCGCCCTGCAAGCAGCAGAGCTGCACGTCCCACCTGCTTCCTCCCTCACAGCACCTGACGTCTCTGGCACCACCAGCACCACTCCCACCCCTACGGATGCCACAGGGGATGTCAGCGGCACCACCATTACCACCACCATACCACCTGCCAGCACCGCCAGTGGCGCCACTGGCAAAGTGGGTAGCAACGCCAGTGACAGTGCCAGCAGCGACAGTTATGGTGCAGTGGGGTCGATGCGCCCAGCTGTTTCCTGCCGGCACACCGACAGCCTGGTGTCAGTGATAGAGACGCTGGCAGGGAAGGGCATTCACCGGGTGTATGTCACTGACGACCACGGCAGGCTGCAGGGTGTGGTTACGTTGCGCGATATCATTTCCCGGTTTGTTACGGAGCCGGAAGGGTATTTTGATAACTTTCTTGGGGATATGGCACGAGCTTGGGAGTAACGAATGTGGGGAAAGGTATGATGCATGTACTGTACTTGCATGCATGCACCGTGCATGGAAGACCTGGAATTTATCCATTCTGTGGGTAAAACAAGTTGTTTTGGTAGTGGAATGCATCTTTTTGTATCACGTTTGTGTACTCTTGCCTTAGCCCTAGTTACAGTATTAGAAACAAGCTTACATTATTATTTTAAAGAAAAATAAAACTTTTATTCGATAACAGAATACAATTGTTAGCAACCCTAGTGTTACCAAGGGAAAAAAACAGCCTACTCAGTGCAGGTGTTGCCTAGCTGCAACACCTACGTACAATGAATTCTTTAATGATGCGTATCAAAACACCATATCTGCACGCACCTTATGTGTGGACACGTCTAATGCATATGCGCATGCCCATCCTCATCCAGGTATCCAAACACCTTGAGAGGGTCATGACCAAAATCGATGTGCCTGAAATCCTCTTCACATCCCGCAGCGCCCCCTCCACCAATCAGCATGCCCCTCCCACCCTCCAAATGATCATGTGCTTGTAACGCAGGGCTGTCCTTCCCTCCCTCCTGGGACCAGCTCTTGCTGCTGGAATCCTCCTGGTTAGAGTCATCCCCCTTAGAGTCACACCTCGTTTTAGCACCAAATTTTGGGTACGCCGCACCACCTAGGGATTGCCCCATCACCATGCACCCCTGATTGCTCAGGATCAACCCACTGCCGTTGGATCGCCTGGTGCCATCCTTTCCGGGCAGCCCGCAACCATCCATCCCACCCCCCTGCTGAGATTTCAGCTGCCCGCCGCCACTTGCACGACTCCTACTGCCGCCCTCCACAGCACAGGAAACTCTTAGCTCAGGGCCGAACCCAGAAGAACCACCACCATACACTGCCCGTCCCACCAATTCTCCTCCACCTCCTCCCCTTTCTCCTCCTCCCTCTCCTCCTGCTTCTGCCAACCCTGCTCCTGCTCCCGCTCCCCCTGCCGCCCGCTCCCTCTCCTCCGCGCTACTGTTCGCTGACCCTGCCCTGGCAAGGGACAAAGAGGGCGGCAGCATTTGCTGTTGTTGCTGCTGCTGCTGCTGCTGCTGGCCGGCATTGTTTGGCATCATCTGCAGGAACGGGTAACCACCACCGCCTGCTGCTGACGTGGCAAGATGGGACGGAGCATAAGGAGAAGACGAGGAATGGACGCCCAGGGCAGGAGAGGTATGGCTGAACGGCTGACTGAAACCCGCACCTCCCATTCCCGAGCCTGCTGCCGAACCTGTCCCCGGACCAGGGTAAGGCGGGACGTTCATGGGATAGCCTCCCATGCCCATCCCCATACCCATGTTGTAGCCAGCATATGATGACGTGGCAGGGGCGAAGGTTCCAGGATGCTGCATTGGCATGGAGAATTGCCCGTGCTGCTGGTGGTGAGGCATGGGCCACTGCTGCATCCAACCCATGGGGCCAGGTCCGGGAACCGAACCTGGAGCTGCAGGTCCGGAGCCATGCGGTGGCGAGCCTAGCCCCGAGCCTAGGGACATGTGAGGAACGGAGGAGAGGGAGGGCTGAGAGGAATGGTCTACAGCCCAGGGGGGAATACCTGAAGGAGCACCTGAGGGACTGTTGCTAGTGGCGCCAAAGGGCATAGTGGAAGGAACACCTGAAGGAACACCTGAGGGGGCACCTGGGTTACCAGGAGCAGCAGAAGCGGAAATACCGCCAGGATTGGCAAAAGCATGGACGGGGAGAGGCGGGGAGACCGACGTTTCGCATTCTTGCTGTTGCTGTTGCTGAAGCTGCTGCTGCTGCTGTTGCTGCTGCGCCTTAGCGCCAGGTCGGAAGGGGCACCGCAATTGGTGGATGTTCCTCAAATTCCGGTCCGCGAATGCGTTCTTCCACTCGCGCCGCGGGCAGCCCTCATACGGGCACTTGAAAATTCGGTGCTCGGGAACCAAATCCCTCCCCCCGCCGCTCCCCCCCGCCGCAACATCCCCCCCTGCGCCATCCCCGTTCCCCCACGGCAGTCTCGCATCTTCGTTAAGAGAAGCCTCGTTTCCGCTCGTATCAATACCGCCGGCAGATGCGGAGTGATTTAGATTCCCGCCATAAGAGCCGACCGCGGAGTAAGCGCGCTTAAGCTCTCCGCACAACGAGCCTCCTCCGCCAGCGCCGTTGCCGCCGGGGCTGATGGTTCCGTCAACGCCGCCGCGATTGCCGCCGTCGAATGCGGCGAGAGAGAAGGGAGCCAAGTTCGTGGCGCCATTGTCGACGGCCTGCCGGTCCATCGGCCGCTGGCCGTCAGAATTACCGGCTCGGAGGAGAGTTGCGCCACCGGCGCCGGTAGCGTTGGCGGAGTTCTCGTGCGCAAACGCGCGGAGGATTTTCAGACCGTTACCGCGCTGGATAGATGACGGCAAGCCGCCAGCGCTGCTGCCGGAAAGCGCTATCATGCCGCTACTGACGCTGTTGCTGTGTGGGAGGCAGTTCGGGCCAGTCCGGCCGGAAATGGCGGCGGAATTTCCGGGATCGCTTCCCGCCGCCCCGATAGCCAACGATCCGTTAGTAGCCGCCTCTTGTTTGCATAAAGCCTCCTCGTTATCGAGAACCATGTGCCATATGCTGGTCTCCCGAGCCGTCATCTTGTCCTGCAGGCACTTGCTTTGCCGAACCAGCTTCCGAGGCTTGGCAATGTTGGGAGCCATGTGACGAAGCACCGAAGTCAGTACACCAACCTTCCACGCCTTTTTCAAATCATGAGGCTTCTTATAAGGGGGCGAACCGCTGCCCCGCGGAAGGCCCAGCTGCGGCCACCAGGTTTCGTTCCCCGTAGGCCACCACGGCGGGGGTACACCTTTTTCCAATGGAAACCGTCGTTGTGGCGGATCGCAGTGTTGCATTAACGCGGACAAAAGCGAACCCAGAGTTGTATCCTGCAAATCTTGAAGTGTACGCGGTGTAGAAATCGAACCAGGCCCAACCAATGGCACGCCGCCGGGCCCAACCACCACCCCGCCCGCAGCACCGCTCCCGTCAACCCCTCCCCCCGCAGCCGCAGCCGCTTCCATTTGCATCACCATCATTCGCCCCGCTTGCGCCGCCGCCTGCTCTTCGTTATACTTCGAAACCGCTGCCGGGCCGCTGCGATCGAACTGCACTTCGTCCTTCCACCAACTGCGGAGATTGTCGGAGGAGCCTCCGACGGGCTTGCCCTTTTCCGGGATGATTCCGTACACGAAGCCCTGCGCGTTGCACGCGTCCATGAGCTTGAGCATGTATTTAAGAATGCCATCGTGGGCGCGCGACATCTTCTTCCTCCGCGCCGCATCTTGCTGGAAAATACAAAGACAAAGGGGAAGGTAGCGGTAGAGAGAGGGGCGGGGAGGAGGTGAGATGGGAAATAACCACGAGTCGTTGCTCTGACAACAGTAGCAATAGTGGGGATCGTGGTTAGCTCTCCGAGAGCTCTCAGCGAGTCGCTGCACGCCCTCCTAACATTCCAAACTATCCCAAGCTCTCCCACACGGATCGTTTAGCAAAGCCGTACGTCCCGCACCTGCGACTGAGTCGGTCTGTGCTTCTGCGGCTGCTGATCCTCCTCCTCCTCCTCATCCTCCACCGCCCAATCCGGCCGGCACTTCAGGCTCCCGAACTCGCCATTCTCGCCCGACGACGCGGCGCCCGCCGCCGCCGTCGACGCGTCCTTGATGTGACGCAGCTTGAGACGGTCCTTCCACATGCGCTGCTCTAGCTCCTGCACCTCGAGATCTCCTTCGGACGGATCGTGCGGCTCGTCGCCTAAGAGCAGATCGGCTACTTCGCTCATGTCGATCTGTCCCGCCGCTGGGAGGTGACCATCCATAGCGGGATGATCCCGTCGCGTCTATAAACGAGGTTCGAGTCGTGCTTGAGAGGGTTGCTTGCCCGCACTGCCCCGCGGGAGCGACACAGTGACCTTTCGTCGAGACGTGGGGGAATCCGTGTATGTTCCAGTCGCCTCACTGAGAGTTACGACGGCGTGAGGAAGAATGTAATTGGAGTGTCTTTTAGCCGACTGGCATCTTCCTGCTCCTGACGTATTTCTGGTGCTGGGGTGGAAATTGATGTGTTTGTGTGTTACCAAGAATGCAAGTGACTGCTTCGGCCGCCGTCGCAGAGCGCGATCTTGCGGTCAGAATGACTCGTCCTGGGATGATGACATGCCTCCGTGCGGCGTACACCCACACCACACTCACTCTCGCTCATCGCTGAGACGAGAACGAACGTTGCTGAAAGTCTGGCCGACCCCTCCAGCAGTCAGAATTACGCAATTCTGGGAAAAGGGGAAACAATCTATCCGTCTTGATGTGGGCTGGAATTCTGGGAAAAGAGGTTCGGGAAGGGGAAGCGCTTGATGCAAAAGGGATGCTGGTCATGCAAACGGTTTTTTGGTGACTACATAATACATCTGGAAACATTGGTTTTTGTAAAGACTGCCCTATGTTAGTTTGCCAAGGCGGCGCTGTAAATTGTACCGTTTAAAGAACTCTCGCCAGTTTGGAACATAAGAAACGAAGATACAATAATTTGTCGGGAAATAGGTTCCAATCATAGGGTTTGGTAAATTGTAGTACGAAAACCTGGGTATCCGTTCCTGTTAATCAATGAAACACACACCCCATGGGAAAGAGCGTGCAGGCGCTAGTTGGACTGGTTTGTGCAGTACAATGGCGGTGGATGAATCTGGCCTCCAATTCAAGGCGAGGGGGGAAAGCGTGCTTGAACAATGTTGTGGCCTTTGGCTTGGCCCTTTTCCTACGGAGAGGTGGTTGGTGGGGGCCACTTACAAACTGGTTGGGGCACGGTACACGGAACAAAACAGGTGGTTTGGCTGACGGAGAGCCATTTTGGCGGCTGTCTCCACGCGAAGCCATCTCGGACAAATGGGAGGACATTCTGGACGACAGCAAAGCAACGAAAAAACAAAACCAATGAAGGCAATGCTCATGGTTGGGCAGTTACGGGAACCTCGGAGAACCTTCTTTGTTGATGTAGTCGGACATTACTACCACGAGCTATTGAACGAGGTGAGCAGTGAAACATTTCAACCACATAAACGCAGCACAGCAATTGGAGAAATTTTCTTGCAATCAAGTTCAGGACACACGTCGGAACTGGAACCCACACACTATTATTGCACCAAGACAAATTTCCGGTTGCCCTTTTTCCGTCCAGCTTATTTTGGAACTGCATGGGTGGTGTGCTGCGCGTACGATACGATGCCGTTTCATCAAACTGCATTGTCCAGGTCAGAGATGGGCAGATGCTTTCACGAAGCAAAAGTTGATTGCACCTACAGTACAGTGTGCAGCGAATCCGCCACCCAGCTCACGCGAAGTCTCTAGGTCGCATCTGTGCAGTGCGGAGACAACGATCTTATCCCGAAGATGTGGCGGGTTGGATGGATGCATCCCGCTCAGATTTCAGAAAATGGGAGACACGATTCATACAGCTACAAGTGCATTCTACGGCGGAGATCTCGAGATGCCCAAACTAATGGATGCTTTTTCAATATCCACGTCACCGGCCCGTCGCACCACGAACGTGAAGGTCGGGCCGGGTTTCATCGCGTGTTGGCTCCTGTGGTTACCCTCCTGCTCAACACGACACTGCATTGACACGTGGCGGACATGTGCGTACTATGCAATGCATGGCCTTCATAGAGTTTCAACAGCACCGTTTCAACAAACCATGGGTGTTATGAGTTGTTCAAAGAGACTGCTCAGAATAACGAATATCAAAGATGGGACAATATGGACTCTCAATAGAATGGACTGAAGTATAAATAGTGGACTATCCTAGCTAGGTGGGAACGTATAGAACACCGGGTTGGGTACAGGTCAAGAAGGGAAACGCGGAAGGCAGCCTCGGTGTCGATATAATAGGCCGATGTCGAAATAGGCTCTTAACTCATGACTTAGTAACCTAGGGTTTAGCTAGGAAGCGTGAGTGTCGAGGGTGAGCATGGCGAGATACATGAGCAAAAAGGGTTTCACTAAGAGAAGCGGGAGTAAAAATAGGCAAAGGCAAGAAGAAGTTGTAACGCTACACAGTAGCTACACTAGCAGGCAGTTATTTGAAATGTAACACTGAAGTGGAAAGAGAGAAAGAGACAGAGAGAGAGGTACACAAAGGGCAGAGAGCGACAGTAGCAAACCACAGTCACAACAAATGCAACAATTGCAATTGCAGGCGACGTCAGGTGGGCGAGAGAGCAGGCGATGTGGCTGCAACGAGCAGCAGGACAGCACGGCTCAGCACCTCCGAGGGCGAGCCAGTAGCAGCACGAAAGAACAAGAGAACGAAATAACGAAAGTAGAGTGGGGCGCGAGTAGGAGATGAGAGGAAGAGGAAGAGCGATAACAGGTGTAGCGGAAGAGAGAGGATGAGGGTTGGCTGCCTTGACTTACCCGCCACCCCCACACCCCCCACCCCCCCAACGCGGCACGCACATCAATTGCAGTTTTTGCGATGAGGAGGAGGAATAGGGAGGGGCAGGGGGGTTCAAGGGGGCTTCAGCACCCCCGCAGCCTCAGCTGCCAATCCCGCCACCCACCCACCCAAGCGTCCGCCGTAGCAGGGCGCAGCAGAGATAAGGGTGGGGAGCGGGATGGCACTGGCGGGGGCGCGAACGAACGTCGTTGGCGCTGGCGCGGACGGTTGTCGCCGTCGTCTCGCCACCCCTCGCCCCCCTTCCTCTCCGTCACAGCGACCGCCCCCACATGCGCGCAGGGCCGGGATGGGTGGGGAAGAGCAGAGCAGAGGGGGGGGGGGGGGGAGGGGGGGGGCGCCCGAGGACGCGGCGACGGGGTGCAGCGGCGGGGCGACGAGGCAGCGGGGTCCGAGAGGCTGCTGGTAGCAGCGAGGGGCGACAGGGCGACGAACGGGGCCGCCGACGACCAGCACCAATCGCGCCGCGCTGGTCATTGCGGCATGCTTCGCGTCGGTCGCGACGTGACGAACATGGCGCGGCTGGGGCAGCAGGGGCGACGGGGCGAGCTGTATGCGGGCAAGCGGTGCGCCCATGTCGAGAAAACTAAAAGGAGGTCCGCGGGATGGACCTGCTCTGGATACCATGTCGAAGTAGGCTCTTAACTCATGACTTGGTAACCTAGGGTTTAGCTAGGAAGCGTAAGTGTCGAGGGTAATCATGGCAAGATAAATGGGCAAAAGGGGTTTTACTAAGAGAAGCGGGAGTACAAATAGGTAAAGGCAAGAAGGAGTTGTAACACTACACAGTAGCTACACTAGCAGACAGTTATATGGAATGTATAATTTCTAACAGTCGAGCCTGTACTTCCGAGTGTTGGGGTTGTACGCGAAACAGTAAACCCCGTACAGGAAACATGAATTTTCCTTAATACCCACCCCACCCCCCCCCCCCCCCCCCTCCCCCCCCCCCCCCCTCCTCCCCCCCACCCCCCTCCTCAGAAAGGTGGTCAATAACAACCGCACGCTTCCGTGCGAGATAATCGCGAAGCATCGAAGGTGCTTCTCGCGAGGCTGAAGGTACACAGGTGTCGTCCACATGTTCGAAACGCTGTGATAAGGCTACGACCCACACCTTTCACGTGCGAACTGTGGTCACACGGAATATTGTTGCTGCTCGTCTGTTAGCCGAGTCTGAAGTCTCGTCTGTCACATGTGTCACACCCGTTGGGGTCCCTGTATCAAAAGTTCGGCGCCACCAATCCAGCGCCGGTAATCGAAGAATCAATACCGCGTAATGAAGACGCGTGGCGATGTCGTTGACGTTCACAGCAGTGAAGAATACCTCCAAGCCAAAGAACCACCCCTTTACTGGTGTGTTATTGTCCGTCATGTTGAACGGGGCAGGTTCGCGGAATTTATACTGATTGTCGCCACTACGATTGCTGTCGTCATAGCCTTGCGCCAATCTTCTACTTCAAAGTCACGTATGAGCTCCTCCCGCGGGTTGTTGCTCATCATTAGACTGGTGCCTTCACTTTCTTCAGTGGGTAGCTCCTGGCGCGCTTCACCTCGCGCCTGGCGGAGCTCGGTGTTTTCCATACGTAGACGCTCCACTTCCGTCGTTAACGCCAGCACGTCGTTCCTCATTTCCGCAACTTGCTGCATCAACTCGTTGAAAGCCGCCTGGTCCATGTGTCGTAAGCTACGTTTAGTGGGCAGCTGGGTATCCGTGGCTATCCAGCAACGGTGGCGCAATAGCTATCAGAGAAGGGCAAGTTCAATCTAATACTCTTTGAACCAACCGCTTTGCAGCCCACCGTGCCAACCACACCCGTGCCACTAAGCTAACCTGGAAAAGCGAGGTGAAGTAGGAAAGTAGCACTGATACTAATTGTTATGAGTTGTTCAAAGAGAGTACGCATAATAACGAATATCAAAGTTGTGACAATATGCATTGCTGATACAATGAAGGACAAACGATAATAGCGGGCTATCCAAGCTAGTCGGGAACCTTCGGAACACGAGGTTGGATACAGGTCAGGAAGAGAAAAGCCGAAGGCGACGCGAGGCAGCCACGGTGTCGATAAAATCAGACGAGCCTGTGCTTTCGAGAGTCGGGGTTGTACGCGAAGCAGTAACCCCCGTTCAGGAAGGAAAGAGATTTCCTTACAACGGGGTTGTTTCACATGTAATATATGAAGTTATAATGTGTAAGTAATATGAAATTTCCAACTTCCAACTCGTACAACAATCCACACCGGGCCTCTGCCTTATTCGCCCGTCACCAGCTGCAAGCGTTCATTAGAATGCGTGCCAGTTTCACCAAACCCTTTTCCAAATTATAATGCTGATGCG